TATTTTTTTTTTTTAAAGAATATTGGGGTCCTTTCTTTAAGCAAAGTATATGGTAACAGTGACAACATCTGGGCCCAGAAGGAATGTTCACTCAAAGTCAATTTGCTCCTCAGCCCACAGGTCCTGGCTCCCCAATAGTAAGAAGCCTCAAGTAAAGGAATGAAGGAAGAAAAAGGAGGTTCTTAGACTTGGATACCATCGTTTCTGGGGACAACTTTAACTGGATACCTACATGTCTACCTCTAAGAACTTCACGGCAGATGCAGAGGACACAACATACATGGAATCCATGGAGCTCAGTATTTCCTGAGCACAGAAGAAAATGATGGGAGCCCAGGTAATTGTTTCTTTCTTTTACCTTTCCTTTGTTTTCTTACAGGTGTGTGGTGACATTAAAAAAAAAAAAAAAGCCCTAACTGGATTGGCTCAATGGGTAGAGCATCAGCCTGCAGACTGAAAGGTCTCAGGTTCGATTCCAGTGAAGGGCATGTACCTTGGTGTGGGCACATCCCCAGTAGGAGGTGTGCAGAAGGCAGCTCGATGTTTCTAACTCTCTATCCCTCCCCCCATCCTCTCTGTAAAAAAATCAATAAAATATATATTTTTAAAAAATCAACTAAATAAAGGATAAATTGGGATAATTGGGTTCTGGATAAATTAACTTAGACTCTAAATTTGAAATTAGGACAAAGTGAGATCAGGAAAATTTTGTTTGTTGGGGTCATACTAAATGACTAATATTGGAACGTAATGGGTGACGTGGTGGCTTCCATGGGTCACATCAGCTGTCACTTTGCCTCCACTATCTCTGAGTTCTGAGAGCTGTGCTAGCAAATGATTGAACCCAAGTAGAAGGTTACGGGAACCTCAGATTTGTAGTCAATCGGACAGGTGGGTTTCCTGGAGACCCACTACTTAAGATTGGTGTCTGAAGTGTGGACAATCGTGCGGAAATGAACCCTTAACCTGTGACATCTGCACTAACTCCCGGCAGTTAGTGCCAGAATTTCTTGGTGTGGAAAACCCACACATCTGGCCCCAGAAGTGTTCTGTGTTAGCATGTAAAGGAAAACAGAAGTAAGTTTTTCCCAGACGGGTACCTAACCAAGTACAGTGGGGCCTTGACTTATGAGTTTAATTCGTTTTAGAAACAATTTACTAGCCAGCCCATGCTCAAGGGAAGGGGACTGCACAGGGGTATGAGTATCTAGAAGGTCATAAGGAATCTGCCTGACATTGTCTCTGATTCCTGGGAAGTTGCTCTAAATCCTTTAAATTACCAGTGTGATATGAGTTCTTCATTCTGGGCCACTGGGACCACACTTTATCGCTTGTGTTAATGCGGTGACTCAAGACAGAGGTTGTTTCAATGCCAGAAACCAACCAGGTGATCAGAGGGTAGTAGCTTTGAGCCATTTGACATCAGTGTGACTTCTAGGAAGGGGAAGGACCTGGAGACTGAGTCCAGCCACGAGGTCAGTAATTCAGTAACCGTGCATTTATCATGAAGCCTCAATAACAGCTCTGGATGCCGCAGTGTAGGCGAGCCTCCTGATTGGCAATACTCTAAAGCGCTGTCACATGGTGGCTGGGAGGAGCTAATGCTCCATGAAAGAGTCACTGTTCAATACCAAATGGCCTTCGTGCCTGGCCTTTTGGATACACAAGTCAGAACTTTGAAGATAATACCCCATTCTTTCTGATTTCTATTGTTTCTATTTTACGTAAGCTGTCTTTTGTCTCTCAATACTTTTTAAGTTTTTCTTTGCCTTTTTTGTAGTATAGTTTCAGTCTTATGTGTCTAGGTATAGACATTTTGTCTGGAATTTGTTAGGATAGTTGAATCTGAGGTTAGCAGTGTTTAACCAGTACTGAAAATTTTCAGCTTTTAGATGTTTGAATACTGCTTCTATGTTACTCTTCTCTTTTAGAAACTATAAGTAGGCATACATTACATTTGTTGATGCTATACTCTTTTTTTAAATTGGTTTCAGAGAGAGGAAGGGAGAGGGGGAGAGTGATAGAAACATCAATGATGAGAGAGGATCATTGACCAGCTGCCTCCTGCACACCGCCTACTGGGGATCCAGCCTGCAACCCAGGCATGTGCCCTGACTGGGAATTGAACCATGACCTCCTAGTTCATTGGTCGACACCCATCAGCTAGGCTATGCTCATATTTAATAACCTCTTCCTTATGTTTTCTCTTCTCCTTCTGCTGCATTTTCTGTTATTTCTTCAGTTATATATTCTGGGTCACTACAGTGTACTGAATATACTATTCATCTGTCCATTAGTGTATATATATGTGTGTGTATGTTTTTTTATTATAAGTTTTTCCCCCTAAAATCATCCTAATCAACTTTAATGGTCTATTTGGCTTTAGACATACCATGTATAATTTCTGTTTTTTATTTATTTTTTAAAAATATATTTTTATTTTTTTCAGAGAGGAAGGGGGAGAGATAGAAACATCAATGATGAGAGAGAATCATTGATTGGCTGCCTTCTGCATGCCCCCCACTGGGGATTGAGCCTGCAACCCAGGCATGTGCCCTTGACCAGAATCGAACCTGGGACCCTTCAGTCTGCAGGCCGATGCTCTATCCACTGAGCCAAACAGGCTAGGGCTCTGTTATTTTTTAATACTTATTAAAAACACTTGTCTTGTAAATTCTGGATGTGGAGTTTTATTGTAATGTAGGAATATTTTCTTCCTCCCAGTGTTATTTGTACATTCAAACAGCTTTT